ATCGAATCTGCAAGACAAATAAATAACTTTTTTTTCTAAACTTACTTTATTTCAGCAGAGGTACAATGTATAATTATATAATAATAATAAGATATTTCTTATTATTCATTTACCTTAACGACATGCAAAGCAAAGTAAATACGTTATAGGTCTATATATTTTTGTAAAGTGGGCCGAGTTGACCCGTGCCGAGTTGGTATAGGGCCGAGTTGACTCTTTTCCGTTATCAATATACACAAATGTATCAGTTTATTTGAGAATCCTTATAAAACTGAATTTTTTTTATATGAAATGTTTATTTAATCAACTGCTTGTTGTTAATCGCTAAATCGTGAATAGTCCGCTGAACTTTTGACTATTATTTTTTTAAGTTAAAAATATTGGCTATTATTTTATTTGAGTCAGTGTTAGCCCTGAATATGACCATAATTATGATGTATAACAATATAAAAACTTGCTGTAAAATGACACGTTAAACAAATATGGTAGTAAAACATGGTATTCAACACATTGATTTTCTTAAAAGTGCATTATGCCTCAGAAACAAATAAATTTTTACTTTTTTAAAGGGTAAACATGAGTTTCATATCCTTTAATAATTGTTTTAGAGCATGTTAAATGTTCGTTACCTAAAGAAAATAGCACTAGATGTGAAATTATTGGTCATAAAAGTAGCAAAATGTAAACAAACTACCCTGTACAATACTAAAACTATACTATTAAGAATAAGTTCAGATAAATGGCCAATGAGTAACTTTTTGGAAACATCAAAATTGCTTGGAGAACTAAAAATAAAAAATTTTTTTTTTAGGCATAATGGGCCTTAAAGAATATTTAACACAACAAAATTTTCATTTTACCACAAAGAATACACAACATAAGTTACTCAACTAGATTATCATACATGTGTCTACATTTACATGAAAACAAACAAAACTAGAGCTATCACTAAAGGTGATTAATACCCTCACCCCTACAAACTTCGTTTATGGGGATATAAATAAGAAAATAATGCATGGAATGGAAAAGATTACTAAGTAATAGTATAAAAATATGAAACAAATATTACTAATATGTAGATAGGACAGTAAAAAAAGATTTCATTACAACTCAAAAAACTCCTGTTACAATTTTTTTTTAATTTTTAAATTCATTTAGTCTTATTTAGTAAAGTATCAGTAACAGATGTACCAATGTATACATAATTATTGCTGTTCATCAAAAAAAAAATTATGAACAATGAATAAAAAAATTTCAGATAAAAATCATGCACTTTATTAAAAACTTACTCAGACCCAGCTATATTTCAGATCTACACTTTAAAAATTCTAGTTTTAATATTGCAAATATGAAAATATTGAGCATATTGAAGCAATGTATAAATGAAGTAAATTTTTTTAGATAAGTGACATGCTCTTCCCAAATGTAAAGCCATTTTAGTGAATTCCTTATACATAGAGTATACTTTACAAGATTGAAATATATTTCACAGAGTGAACACCAGATGTAATATTTTCACAAGTGGAGTAGCCATGAATTATGGTGGTTTCGTTGAAGAGGTGCGAAAGTGGTTTTGTCAATCTTATGTTATATAGTAATTGAAGGCAAAGTAGACATGGTTCATATATATGTTATATAGTAATTGAAGGCAAAGTAGACATGGTTCATATATATGTTATATAGTAATTGAAGGCAAAGTAGACATGGTTCATATATATATATAAAGTGTTTGTATCATCAACATTTTGTTGTAATAAAATTATAACGCAAATGTCATTAATATGTATATAATATATTGTACAAGTATGCCTATATATTATACTTAATTTGATAATGATATGTTCGTTATTTGATTAATTAGTTTTGAGAAAAAAAAATGTTTAAATAAACAATATTATTTTGTTTGCAAAATAAATTGTTTATTTAGGGCTTGGTTTAAGAAACTAATCATTTGTTTATAATTGATCCCAGAGAAAGTATGCATGTCTTATCCGCCTATTAGTTAACACTAATTATATGACATAAAGGTGTTTATAGTGAGAAAAGATGACAGCGCCAAGCAGGTACCATTTATCAGCATCTCTTGACAAGACTTCATCCTTAAAGATACGCCTACATCCATGGAAACTTATTTGACGCCTGGGACAAGTACGAAGATGATGAGATGATCTTCCTAACTACTGAGATTATGTAGCCACATTTCAGGAATAGGATCCAACAACTTTAAGGACGGGATTTATGAGGACGATTTTTAAGTTTTATATAGAGTGATGAATAAAGAATAAACACAGATTGTTATTGCTTATTACGTAGAAATTATGCTGTATTATCTTTAATACTATGCATGCATCAATTGTTCATATAGAGATGAATAAAGTATCTAAAAAAGATGTGTTATTCATAACGTACAAAATCACGGTACAAATTGTTCTTATTTTGGATTTTTATATGTTTTTTGTATGTCTTGTTTTTGTGCATATATTATAAAATAGAATCTACATTGTTAATTCTTTCTCTTGCAGGTTTTATTTTTCTGTGTATATATGTCAATTTTATTACGATTAAAAATATAATTATATTGTTCCTTCTTTTCCAGCTTTTACCATTTGTAAATATAGTTTGACATAGATAATAAAAAAAAAGGTTTTCATATTTTACAGGCTTCACTTAATGAGTATATATATTTGTGTAAAATTTAAATTATTATTCTTTTTTTCAGGTTTTACTTATATACATATATATATATGATGTTGTTTGTTTACTGAGATCTTTTGTATTGCGTTATGCTTTTATGTAAATATAGCTAGATCTATTATACTAAAGAAAATAATAAATAATAGGTTTAAATTTTCAATATTGTCTTTAATTGCATGAAAATGTGTGATAAACCACACATTAAGATCTAGGATAATTGACGTGCCAATTATACAACAGATAATTTTTGCACTATTAAACTTAAGTTTGCCAAAATCACAACCTGTTTTATTATATAAGATTAGTTAGCCGAACCGGTAATTCGATGAAACCACTCTCACCCGTAGCCTTAAGTGAAAATGCAAAGTCGGTGTTCACAAGTGAAATATAATTTGATCTTCCATACAAAACAATTTTTCAATCTGTTTCTTGCTTTTTGTGGCTAACATTCATTTTTTTCACTATTTTTTGGCCACATAACAACATGTACTTTCATTCAATATATACATGTTGGCAAAACACATGCAACAAAATAACAAAATAATTTATCAAACACAATTAATTTAAAAGAATATTTCAAATCGAGTTCTATTCTGCATGAAGCAATTTATAATCAAATATCTTGTTCTATGGAATGATTTTATGATTTCAAGATGTGTACATAAACTCATGAAAGCACATGGAACTTTAAACTGAAAAAAAAGGAAAATAAATTCTCTCTGTACATATTAACCTTCATATAGACAAATGCAGAATGCTTTTGTCGTGTTGAAGATTTTTAACTTAGGTCAGCTTATCGCAAATGGGTTTTTCTTTTAATACAATTAACTTGCTAAATTTGTTATGGATTTTCCCAGCTTTGAATAGTCCATCAAAGTTTCAGGAATGTGTTTTAAAAATAAAAAATTTAGATATTAAAAGTGTAGAGCCTGGTTAGACAGCACACTTGTACAGGGAGGCCTTGCTCCATACTGGTGACAAAGACTGTCGGTTCCATCAAGTTAAACATTAAATGTGATTTAATGTTAGATGAAAATGTGCATAAATCTTTTCCCTATTAATAAAAACACAAAGTCTGTAATAGTATAGTATTCCTTTACCAATAATAAACATGCATTTTGAGTATTATGAAAGAAATCAACCTCATAATTAACTTAAAGCAGTTGTACTCCTACGGTAACAAGCAATTATCATAGTATTGGAAGCAATCCATAAGTCCCCTACCGTTACAACCCCAGCAACATTCTGAAGGGCCATTGGCCATTCAAATATGCCATTAATGAAGGACATGAATGAACTTAAAACTTTTGAGTTCTTAGTTTGTCTGTATCATAGTATTGTGTTAACTTTCCCTGACTAGTAAGGAAATTATGTTTATACAACAGATAATCAAAAGATCCAATTTTCTCAGGATAAATATGTATAACTAATGTTAAATTTTTCTCTATTTCAAATAAATTTGTTGGAAATACCAATTTCTTTAAATGTGACCTCAGGAAACAGTTAATAGGAACAGACAGACAGACAGACTGAAAGACAATCTGATATGATCACTTGTGATAAATTGCAACTGTGAAAAAAGGAAAAGTCTGTTTGATTTATGAAGGCAAAATCACTTGATTACGGATTAAATAACCCGAATTGAATTAACCACATGACAATTACATTTGTTTGTTGCAGAATATTAGCGGATAGATTTCGATTTTAACAATTTTCATATTCATGATGTCTTTTGAAATTCATAGGAAAAAAAGTTTGTGAACTGAAAAACTGCATGCAAGTTATTGGTTCAGTCCTACATCAAATGGTTCACACATCTCAAAAAAATATTCCAGGATCTTTTTTTCTCTTAGTATTTAAATTAATCTAACTGGGTCAAAACTGGTAAAAAAGCTGTCATTCTAAGTAGTTTTTAAATATCATTTCACTGAGAAGATCACTTAAAATATCTCTTTATATATCATTCCAATGTTGCTTACTGGCAACAACTTAAAATAGGTGAAAATTGTATGCCTCATGTCATAAATAATCAAACTGAATCATCATTTCTTCATTTCACTATAAAGCTATATCAAAATCTCATTTTTGAAATGTTTTGATTAAACACTCTCAACATTTGCCATTTTGATCTCAGATTTGAAATTCATATCTATAAGCTAACCCTTGATTATTATCATACCACAATCTCTTTTAATCATAAATGAAATCTGCTGAAAAACTTAATGCAGTAAAATAATCACATTATGGCATGCTTTTTTTAAATGTCAACAGTAAACAACCATTTACATGTAACACCATTTTCTTACAACATTTCTAGCATGGGAAAAGAATTCTAGTCTTTCTTCTTTTCTTCCTTGCTCTTCATTGGCATATCGTTCCTGTCGCTTGCATCTGCTGGCTTCTGCTCTCGTACCACAGCACGTCTCAAAGCGTCCCACATTCCACCCATAAATATTGCACAAAACAAGTTCTCAAATGGAGCAAATGGGTCGTGTATTCCAAGAAGTAAAGCTGACAGCTTGAAGTACACAAAGAAAATTACTACCCCAAAATAAATAATTGGATGTGGCGCTTGAATGTAGTTAAGGCGCTCCAACAAAAACACAATAGATGCAACCAGACAAGCTTTAGTAGCACTGAAAATATAAAAACAATATTTATAACATGAAAAAAATTACATGGATTTCTTTACAAGAGGTCCATAATGACTCTTATATCACTCACCTAACTATAAAGGCTGTATATGACAAGAAAGAATTAATATTATAGCATAAAATCGGCTATTTTTCCCTCTTTTGCCCATGTTATAATGGTACCAAAACCATGTGTTAACATAGTCATGCGCTCTTTATAGCCCGATTTTACCCGATTTTTATTTCAAAAGATTGAGGTATGGATCTCAGGACTTTCAGTCCAAAATTATGATCAATGCTAGATCTGCAAATGCAACAATAAATTTATTGAAGAAATAAAATGAAACACGGAATTTAAAAAAAATCTATCATGTTAACCTTAGATCTCTAAGTGTGACCTTGACCTTGGAGGTAGGGACCCATGTTTTGCGCCTGACATATCCTCTTATTACTGTGATAATTTGTGCCAAGTATTTTTAAAATCCCTACATCTATGAAAAAGTTATGGACTGGACACAAAATATACCCTATAACAGACTATCTAAATCTTTGACCTCTATGTGTGACATTGACCTTGGAGGTAGGGACACATGTGTTACGCATGACATATCATCTTATCATTGTGACTATTTGTGCCAAGTATTTTCAAATTTTTTTGATCCATGAAGAAGTTATGGACGGGACACAAAATATACCCTGTAACAGAGTATCTTTGACCTCCAAGTGTGACCTTGACCTTGGAGGTAGGTGACGCATGACACATCATCTCATTATTGTTAACAATTGTGGCAAGTATTTACAAAATCCCTTCAAAGATAAGAAAGTTATGGACTGGACACAACATATACCCTCAAATAGACAATGTTGACCTTGAATGAGCAAGTGCGACCTTGACCCTGGAGGTAGGGGTCTGGTTGTTGCGCATGACACATCGTCTTATTATAACAAACATTTGTGCCAAGTTATTTCAGATTCCTTTGATAAATGACAAAGTTATGGACCGGACACGAAAGTGTGACGGACAGACGTACTTATGTGACTTTTCCTTTGATCTTTTTGGCAATTTTTAGTCACACAAGGCTTAAAAAAAGACACACAAGTAAAAACAGAATGAATAGGATCAAAGAGAATTTACTGTTACCCATTGTTCTCCAAGTCACACAAGTACCTCTGGGTTCGTACAGACAGACGTACATACAGATGGACGGAGCCTATTTCTATAACCCCCTTTTTTCTTCGAAAAGGCGGGGGACAAAAAGTTGAAAATTGTAAATTTTTTACTAAATCAAGGGCAACAACTCTACAAATATTAAATAAATCCACAAGCAAACCCCCAGGTGTATAACTACACATGCTGACCAATATTCCTATAGTTTCATGATATGACTTTATGTTAAATACATTTGGACTTTCATCAACTTTCACCAGTTGCTTTCAAAGATGCGTTTGAATGCATTGGCCAATTGCACATTCATGACCCTTAAAGTTCATGACAAGTGAGCTAAAACTAGAACTCCGCGAGTGTTGCCTTGTGAACAGTATAGCTGTCAGTTAGGCATTTTTTTCTTAAATATAGGTTATTTATAAACACTGCTCTTACAATGTATATGACCTTTAACTTTAGTGACATTTGAACTGATTGTAACAATGTTGCCTCGGGATTAATAAAACTGTTATATTATCAAAAATAAAAGTACCATGGAAAAGTTTAACACTGACAGATCAAATGGAGGACTCTGTGATGGATTCTTAAGCACTGCACTTCAGGTCAATGAAAAAAGCTTACTGTTACATACAAAATTTGGGGTCAATCAAACTTAAAGTGAAAAGTTATGCTGTGGACAAGCATATTAAGTAGGAAAATTAACAAATGGCAATAACTCAAAAATCATGACGTGCAGGGTACAAATTATTGTGCACTGCACTTCTTCTCAATGAGATCTATCATCTTATGAAGTTTCAAGTCAATAGCTTTTAAAGTGTACGAGAATTGGGCCTGGACAAAAATAAAGTATTATAATTAACACTGGACAAAAATAAAGTATTATAATTAACAAAGGGCAATAACTCTAAAATCATGAAGTACAGATTACCGGTTCTTGGACACTGCACTTCTATTAATGGGATCTATCATCCTATGAATTTTTAAGTCCATAGCTTTTATAGTCAAGATGAAATGGCTGTGACAAAAATAAAATATGGCAATAACTAAAAAATCACGGAGTACCGGTTTTTGTGCACTATTTTAGGAGATGGCCCAGACAAAAATAGAATATGAAAATTAACATTAACAAAAGGCAATAACTCAAAAAAAATTAAAAAATGCCGAGTACTTGCCTTTGTGCACTGCACTTCTTCTTAATGAGATCTATCATCCTATAAAATTTCAAGTCCATAGCTTTTATAGTTTAGGAGAAATGGCAGGGACAAAAAAATAAAGTATGAAAAAAAACAAAGGGCAATTACTCAAAAAATAAAAAGTGCAGAGTAAGGGTTCTTGTGCACTGAACTTCTACTTAATGAGATCTATCATCATATGAAGTTTCCTGTCCATAGCTTTTATAGTTTAGGAGTAATGGCCCAGACAAAAATAAAGTATGAAAATGAACAAAGGGCAATAACTCAAAAAGTAAGAAGTGCAGAGTACATGTTCTTGTGCACTGCACTTCTTCTTTAAATGAGATCTATTATCCTATGAAGTTTCAAATCCACAAATTTTATAGTTTAGGAGAAATGGCCCTGACAAAAATAAAGTATGAAAATGAACAAAGGGCAATAACTCAAAAATTAAGAAGTGCAGAGAAATATTCTTGTGCACTGCACTTTAGGTCATTGAAAGAAGCAAGCATACAAAGTTTGGAGTCAATCTCACTTATATTGACTGAGTTATGCTCTGGACAATCCTAAGGGGATGCTGTTGCCAACACTGACACTGATGCCGCCGCCGACAAAAGTAATCCCTATGTCGCCTTTTTTAAGGCAACACGAAAATACAATCAACTTGGGATTTTTTTTAAAATAGCTTTATAGACCAATTATCTGCAACAAATAGGACATAAAGCATATATACATGCCCCTAACTTCTAAATCTGATGTCTGTAGACCCAACAGTACATGTTGAGCTTGGTAAGTAAAACATTCGTAGTGTTATATACAACTGTGACAGGCCATTAAATGCAAAATCATTGATTATGTTTTTACAGTACTTTCATGTGTTTTCAAATCTTTCTGTTTGTTTCTGTGTCAAGCAACTTTAAAATAGTGTTGCTGTCATAAAGTTTAGATCCTAAATTTTGACAAAATTAAAAGCTTCAAGGAAGACTTGATAAAAAATAGTTTTTACAAAACATGTAGGAATAGCATACAAAGATGGTTGAAGTATTTCGTTGGACCCTGGCATCCATACTCCACGAATCAATCTCTCGAAGTTCTTCATCAAATAACTACCAGCTCCTGTAGGGTAAAAAACATACATAATGATAAAACTTTATGGCAAAATAAATCCCATGTCAATTAACGTAACATTCCTTACCAAGAAATTTAACCAGCTTCTCTTAGTGACCTAAGAGATTTACTATTGTCTGCAACTGTTTTAACCCATTACTTTATAATTATATTCTTTCATGTAAGGAAGCTATCCAGCTACCTTACAGAACGTCGGTGGTTCTACTCAGGTGCCTGTTCGTGTCGAAATAATGCACGGAAGGGCACCTGAGGTCTTCCTCCACCAGTAAAGCTGGAACGTCGCGATATGACCTATACTGTGTCGATGTGACGTAAAACCCAAAACAAACAAACAAACTTCATATACACTAGACCATATAAGCCAGTTATTACCATATGTATCCAGTTAAACCACTACTGTATTAACACATTGTATACACTATCTATACAGGTGGCACGATAGCTCAGTTGGTTAGACATACATACATCCATCCCTAACTCTGGGAAAGTCCCGGACATAAGGTGTCTGCCACAGAGGCATCCCGGAGATGATTTATATTCCAGTAAAAATAACTAGAGCTATCACTAAATGTGATAAATACCCCCGCAAGACTGATTCAGAAATGAGGAAGTTACTAGTAACAGAATACCTTGTAAAAGAATTGAAATAGAGTTATGGTTGTGGGCAACTTAAGATAACTGTGGTTCTTGTACATTGCATTTCCTTTCACTGTGGTTGACCACTGATGCAGATTTAGTTTCTTTTCAAGTTATCTTTCAGAAAAAAAACTATGAAACGGCAATAACTCTGTAATTAGTCAAGATGAAGTCATGGTTCTTGTGCACTGCACTTCCTCTCAATGTGCTTGACCATTGTATGAATTTGTATTGACTTCCAACAAGTGGTTTTCAAGTTATGCTCCGGACAAGAAAAAAGCAATGGAAAAGTAACAAAGGGCAATAACTCTGTAATTACTTTAGATAGAGTTATGGTTCTTGTGCACTACACTTCCTGTTATTGTGCTTGACCATTTTATGAAGTTGTTTTGAATTCCAACCAGAAGTTTTCAAGTTATGTTCCGGACAAGGAAAAGTATCAAAGGGCAATAACTCTGTAATTAGTCAAGATGGAGTTATAGTACTTGTGCACTGCACTTCCTTTCAATGTGTTTGACCATTGTATGAAGTTGTATTGAATTCCAACCATTAGTCTTCAAGTTATGCTCTAGACAAGGAAAATGCAACGGACTGCTGGACCGACCGACCACAGGGTGACACCTATATACCCCCCCAAAACTTCGTTTCGGGAGTATAAAAATCACTAGAACTATCGCTGAATGCAATTTATACCCCCACCAATGTCCTTGACAGAAGATGACTTGGAAAGGTGGTTTAGGGAATAACTTTAGTGGCACATATACATAAAAAGAAATTATCTCTGGTGAAAAAAAGACAAATTGTACAGGTAATAGTATAAATATATATTGTCATATCATGTTCGAAACAGTTACAAATAACCTTTCATTTTCCAAATGTACTAAAACAAACTAAAGCAGTGAAGTTAAAAAAATGGCACAATTATGTGAAAATGTAATTAAGAGTGGAAAAACTTTGCATAGAGCGGGTGCGGATATTGTCGAACACGTTTGTTTTTCCGATCATTTTAAAAAAAATTTCTTTAGCCATTTCTAACACTGAGTTGTATGTTGATGACATCAGACTTATGACACAACTCTTTTTTCCTATCAATCGCCATTTTTTCAAGACAACAGCGTGCTTACTAGACGATCTACATTGAAAAATTCAAATCAGCTCCACCAGCAAGTCACTTTTTACTCGATTTTAATTTTTAGCTTATGATGTACAGCCTAAGGTCTAGTATTCCGTGTTTTCGATTTTCTATTTTAAATTTGATATTTGTTTAGTTCGTGATGATGTTTAACAACGGGAAACAATTCCTGACTAAGCTTATTTGAAATATAGCAGAGTTAACTGGATGTTCGGAATTACAAACAATGCTAAAAATTTTGTGCTCATATTTCTGAACACTCACAATTCTGTTGAGATATTTAACAATTTGTTTTTCTGTTTCAGAAATGAGTAGACAGATTGGTGTGAAACGCCAAAAGTATGCTCCAAGATATTGGCTGAGCTTGTACGCTCAAAATCCATAACCTTAAACCAAGCTTCGAAGAAATATTCTGTGTCCAAAACAACACTTCAAAATGCAGTTCATCACAAGTATGACAGACACAAAGTTGGACATAAGACTGTCCTCAGTGATCTAGAAGAAACAAGATTGCATTTGTGAAAAATGCTATGCCACCGCATTAATACAACACTAAATAGTAATGTAGGAACAGAATTTTTTTTAGATTAGTGGTTAAATCTATTGTTATTCAAATAAAAGATCAGAGTAGGAATCTATCAATGCAGTTCAGTCTAGTGAATTTGGTGGTAAAAGTCATATTTCACATGGCCAAAATTCCATAACTGTACATCAAAGGACAACACAGTAACACACATTGTCAAATTTTAGGCCAGCTGATATCAAAGTTCACTTTACATCTTAAATCTGTGCACATGGTTCAAATTTCATAGCTGCACATTAAAGGACAAAAAAGTAGGTCACATCATCAAAATCTTGGTCACCTGTTATCAAAGTTCAATTTTACAACTAAAACTGTGCACATAGTCCAAATTTCATGGCTGTACATCAAAGGACAAGAAAGTAGGTCACTGTCCCCTTGGGCAAGGCAAAATTTTGACCCAAGGGTTTAATTCAAACAATCTTGATACAGGTCCACCAAACAACATTTCATGTCAAATATCTAAGCTGTAGCTTTCTCCAATTCAGAAAACATTTGTTTTAGTTTCTGTTTTTACTATGTGTACATAATGAAAATCAATGCCCCCGGGCAGGGCCAATTTTGACACCAGGGGCAAAATTTGAACAACTTTGGTAGAGGACCTATGGATGATATTATAAAGCAAACATCAAAGCTCTAAGCCTTGTACCTTCAGACAATAAGATTTTTTAATTTTTTACTATATGTACATAGTGAAAATCAATGACCCCCGGGCAGGGGCCAATTTTGACCCCAGGGCTATAATTTGAACAATCTTGGTAGAGGTTCACTACACATTATGTTTCATGCAAAATATCTAACATCTAGCCTTTGTCAATTTAGAGAAGATGATTTTTTAAGTTTTTACTATATACATTAAAGAAAAACCTATGATCCCTGGGGTGGGGCTAATTTTGACACTAGAGGCAAAATTTGAACAACTTTAGTAGGGTACCTATAGATGATATCATATACCAAATATAAAAGCTCTTAGCCTTGTACCTTCAGACAATAAGATTATTTAATTTTTTACTATATGTACATAGTGAAAATCAATGACCCCCGGGCAGGGGCCAATTTTGACCCCAGGGCTATAATTGAACAATCTTGGTAGAGGTGTACCAGACAATGTCTTATGCAAAATATCTCTAGGCCTTGTGGGTCTTTACAAGAAGATTTTTTTAATTTATTCTTATAATTCCTTTTGGTTGCCATGACAACCAGATTTCTGCATGGAATGAAATTCTTTGAACAACTTTGGAAGCCCTTCACCCAAGGATCAATCCTGCCAAGTTTGGTTGAAATTGGACTAGTGGTTTTTCACAAGAAGATTTTTTAAGTTCACTATATAATCTATATAACACACATACGTACAAACACTCACACACATAGGTGAATCGCTATATGCCACCGCATCGCATAGCTGACTCCAAGTGCCCCTTCCAACAAACAATTATCAGTGATAATTTTGATCAATTAAAAGATTAATTGATCCAAATATCCTGGAAATTGATCAAGAAGGTTGTTTTGATGATTTCTAGGTCAAGTTTGATTATGGATCACCTGGGGTCTAAAACTAGGTCACACTGCCCAAATATTGAAAAACCTTGTTAACACTCTTATGATAACATTTTGACTCAATTCTCATCAAACTCGGTCAGGATGCTTGTCTAGTTAATTGCTTGGAGGAGTTCGATATGGGTATCTCTCATGAAAAACTAGGTCACAGGAGCTTAAAATTAGAAAATCTTGTGAACTCTGTAGTGGCTACTGATGTTATCCAAATATCCTGGAAATTGGTCTGCAAGGTTGTTTTGATGATTTCTAGGTCAAGTTTGAATATGGGTCTCCTTGGGTCATCTAACTTGGTCAGGATGCTTGTCTAAGACATTGCTCCGATGTGATTGATGAGTCAAAGGAGCGATATAGGGCCATCTTGGCCCTCTTGTTTAATTCACCTTTTACTGCATTGACCTTGTTCACAGACACCAGGGTAACAATCCCAAGTTGCAACCCACATACTAAATTTGGTGTCAATAGGCCAAAGCAAACTCAAGTTTGAAAAATTCAGAGACTGAAATTCTATTTTTAGCAATCATGGAATTGACCTTGATCACAGACATTTGGGTAGAAATTTCGAGTTGGGTCTTGATTTAAGCTACCCTGACACCAAATTTGCTGTAAATAGATCACAGCTTACTCAAGTAATGATTGTGGAAACTGAATTTCTAAATTTCTATTTTTAGTAACAGTGATCTTAACCTTAATCAGTCACCTGAGTAGTTATCTCAAGTAGCATCTTGATGTTAGCTATCCACATACTAGTTTGGTGTCAGAAGGTCAAAGGAAAATGAAGATATTGAGCAAAAACTTATTTTATAATTTAGCAACAGTGACCATAACCTTGATCAAACACATTAATTTTGGGTAGCAATCCAAAGCTGCCTCTTGATATAGGCTACCAATACATCTAGTTAAGCATCAATAGGCCAATGTAAACTTAAGTTTTTGAGCAGAAACAGAATTTCTATTTTTAGCAACTTTGACCTTGACCACAGACACCTGGGTAGCAATCTCGAGTAGGGTCTTGATATCAGCTTAGTAACCCACACACAAAGTTTGGTGTCAATAGGTCTCAGCAAACTTAAGTAATAAGGTTGAAACTGAATTTCTACTTTTAGATACAGTGACCATGATCACAGACATCTGGATAGCAATCCCAAGCTGCCTCTTGATATAAGCTACCTAAATACAAAATTTGGCATCAATAGGCAAAATTAAACTTTAGTTATTGAGCTGAAACTGAATTTCTATTTTTAGCAACAGTGACCTTGACCTTGATCACAGACACCTTGGTAGCTATCAGAAGCTGCATCTTGATATAAATATAAGCTACCCATACATCAAGTTTAGTGTCAATAGGCCTAAACAAACTAAAGTTATTGAGTGGAAACTTAATTTCTATTTTTAGCTTCAGTGACCTTGACCTTGATCACAGATGCCTGGGTAGCAAACCCAAGCTGCCTCTTGATATAAGCAGTCCATGCAGCAAGTTTTGTGTCAATAGGCCAAAGCAAACTCAAGTTATTGAGTAGAAATTTAATTTCTATTTTTAGCTTCAGTGACCTTGACCTTGATCACAGACGCCTGGGTAGCAAACCCAAGCTGCCTCTTGGTATAAGCAGCCCATACAGCAAGTTTAGTGTCAATAGGCCAAAGCAAACTCAAGTTATTGAGCAGAAACTTAATTTCTATTTTTAGCTACAGTGACCTTGAAACCTGGGTAGCAATCCAAAGTTACATCTTGAAATGACTTTCCCACACACAAAGTTTGCTGTCAATAAGCCAGAGCAAACTCAAGTTGAGCGGAAACCAAAAGTTGACGCCCGCCTGCCCGCCAACTTCAGCATTTCAATAACCGGTTTTCGTTGAAAAACCTGGTTAAAAATTATTGTATGGAGAACTATAAATGAACAAGCAATTATCATAGTATTGCAAGCAATCCATAAGTCCCCTACCGGTTAGAACCCCATCAACATTCTGAAGGGCCATTGGCCATTCACTTATGTTTCAATTTTTCTCTATTTTAAGTAAACTTGTTGGAAAAGTTCTTTAAAAGTGATCACAGGAAACAGTTTTTATGAACAGACAGACGGACTGAAGGACACTCTAAAGTTAATATTTGAAACATCCCTGTTACCAAAATATAACATTTTAAAAGCAAAATTCTTAAAGAGGAGATAACTCTTGAAATAAAGATGCAATTTCATAAAAATTTTCAGCTCTTTTTGACTAATCACAAATATTGTTATATTTGCCATGTTTTAAGCCTATTTGTTGCCAAGGCAACTGATATTTTTTCAAAATAGGAAGAACAGATAAGACATGTATAATCTCAACACTGCTATCTACCCATATGTCAAGTTTCATAAAAATATTTCCAGTACTTTTTGAGATATCACTGGATTCAGTTTATGTGTAAAATTTGCCATATTTTCAGTCTATGTGTTGCCATAGCAACCAGAATTTTCAACATAGGAAGAAAAGAAAAAGACGTGCATAATCTCAAGACTGCCATCTACCCATATGTCAAGTTTCATAAAAATATTTCCAGGACTTTTTGCTTTATCACTGGATCCAGTTTATGTGTAAAATTTATCATATTTTCAGCCTATTTGTTGCCATAGCAACCAGAATTTCAACATAGGAAGAAAAGAAAAAGACGTGCATAATTCCAAGACTGCCATCTACCCATATGTCAAGTTTCATAAAAATATTTCCAGTACTTTTTGCGTTATTTATGTGTAAAATTTGCCATATTTTCAGCCTATTTGTTGCCATAGCAACCAGAATTTTCAACATAGGAAGAAAAGAAAAAGACGTGCATAATTCCAAGACTGCCATCTACCCATATGTCAAGTTTCATAAAAATATTTACAGTACTTTTTGCGTTATCACTGGATCCAGTTTATGTGTAAAATTTGCCATATTTTTAGCCTATTTGTTGCCATAGCAACCAGAATTTTCAACATAGGAAGAAAAAAAAAAGACGTGCATAATTCCAAGACTGCCATCTATCCATATACCAAGTTTCATAAAAATATTTTCAGTACTTTTCAAGTTATCGCGGGATCCAGTTTTGTGGACGGACGGACTGACGGACGGACGTTCTCACAGGACAGTAATTATGTGGCTACTCTATTGTTCTCTCTATTGTTCTTTTAGCCACGCAAAAGAAAATAGCCACATAAAAGCATTACGGAATGAATGACATCAAAGAGAACCTATTGTCCCTCTAGCCACATAATTACTCTCCTGTGAGTGCGGACGGACAGACGGACGGACAGACGGACGGACAGACGGACGGAGGGTAAACCTAAAGTCCCCTCCAGTAAACCGGTAGGGGACTAATAAAAATACGGATGTGGCGTATTGCAATATATTGCAATACGCTTTTTACCGTATTGTTACAGCCCTAATTTTGTTTATTACTTACATGTTTTATAAAACTAGTAAGTTATTGTACATGTACCTTTTATAGTTCCTACCAATACAATGATTAGATAAGCATTAGGGTAGAGCTTAGCAGTGTGGTTGACAGCTGCATAAATTTTACTCGCCCTCTGCACCTCTTTGAAACCACAGATTACCATCTTGAATGGAAGTAGCCTAGCCAGTTTGTACACCACATCAAATGGAGAATAAAACACAAGGTACCTGAAATGTCAATATAAACACACCAAATGGAAAGTTGAACAAGCAATTATCATAGTATTGCAAGCAATCCATAAGTCCCCTACCGGTTAGAACCCCAGCAACATTCTGATGGGCCATTGGCCATTCAATTTTACTAGTGAATGAATGACATGAATGAACTTAAATCTTTTTGAGTTCTAAGTTTGTCTATATCACAGTAATGTGTTAAGTTTCCCTGCCTAGTAAGGAAATTATGTTTATACAACCTTGTCATATTATTACGATGTGGGATTTTAAAGTAAATCCTATAAGGAATGAAGAAGTTGGAGTGAAAAATACCAATTTCTCGAAAAAAATCTAAGTTCAAGGGGAACTCGATTCTGGAAATAGTCTTGCTAGAGTATTTAACCTTCTCAAAAATGTTGAGTGATAATAAGAAAAAGAAATGAAGTAGATACATTAGGAAATAAAGAAGTTATTTAAAAAAGACAACATTTTTTTCATAAAAATTCTAAGTTCAAGGGAGGTAATACTGATAATTTTTGTGCTAGAGTTGTAAACCTTGTCACATATGATGTGGTTGATGACCAGAAACTTATATTTAAAGTTTGAAGTAAACACCTTAAGAAATTAAGAACTTAAAGTGAAAAAGCTGAAAAATTTAAATCAGAAATCTTGCAATTCAGGCTATTTGTTGCCATAGCAACCAGAATTTTCAACATAGGAAGAAAAAAGAAAAGACGTGCATAATCTCCATACTGCCATCTATCCATATATCAAGTTTCATAAAAATATTTTCAGTACTTTTTGCGTTATCGCGGGATCCAGTTTTGTGGACTGACGGACAGACGGACTGACAGACAGACAGATAGACAGACAGACGGACGGAGGGTAAACCTAAAGTCCCCTCCGGTTAAACCGGTAGGGGACTAATAAGAAATAAAGGACCTGAAAAAATATCAAATGTACACCGAATGGATTTAACAAGAGCTGGGTTTGAACCGGGTGATGCTCCCAAACAGGAAAGTACTTTTCTTGTAGTTTCAGAGTTATGTCCCTGGACAAAGTTAAAAGTGAGATAGTTCCTGAATAAGGTAAGGCAGAGTTACTGTTCTTTGCACTGGACTTCTAATAAATAAGATCTATCTACCTACGAAGATTCTTATTCATACCACTTATGGTTTCCGAGTAATATGTCCCGTACAAAGTTTAAAATGTAAAAATGAACTCCAAAATAAGCCAAGGCAGGGTAACATTCCTTGTGCACTGCATATCTACCCATTAAGATCTATCTACCTACAAAGTTTCATGTTTAACAGTTATGTCCCTGACAAGATTTTTCTATTAGGGTAGATAATTCAAAAACACGGCTTAATAGAGTTATGTTTCTTTTACACTGCACTTCTACCCTTGAGATCTATCTACCTACATAGTTTCATGTTGATATCTCTTAAAATTTTAGAGTTATGTCCTGGACAAGATTTTTCTAAAAGGGGAAATAATTCAAAATAGGGCAAAACAAAGTTATGAATCTTTTGCACTGCACTTCTACTCAATGAGATCTATCTACCTACAAAATTCCATGTTGATATCTCTTATAATATTAGAGTTATGTTTTTGACAATGTTCAAAGTGTAAAAATAAACAAAGGATAATTACTCCAAAATTAGGCAAAGCAGAGTTACGGTTCTTATGCACTGCACATCTACTCATTGAGATCTATCTACCTACAAAGTTTCATGTTGTGATATCTCTTATAATTTTAGAGTTATGTTCCGGACAAAGTTCAAAATGTAAAAATAAACAGAGAGCAATAACTCCAAAATAAGGCAAAACAGAGTTACAGTTCTTGTGCACTGCACAGCTACCAATTGAGATCTAACTACCTACAAAGTTTCATGTTGATATCTCTTATACTTTTAGAGTTATACTACAGCCTCATTACAACGTCATGTTGGGGTCCAATGTCTCAACACAGCGTTCTAACGAGGCTCTCGTTAGAATGCTCATTGAGAAATTACCGCATTACCCCACCCACCGCCTATATATATATAACGCTGACGATTTCTACTTACTGTTCAATGAATATCTCCATTATCTTTTTCTAAAACAATTCAATGATGTAAACATATATTATATTCACAAAAAATGCTAATTTAATTTAAAAGAAACAAAACACTTGCGAAAGAAAAACATATATCAGGAATGTAGTGTAAACAGTTAGCCATTACTGTAATGGCGTTTGATTAACTAGGGGACACAACTAAAGCTGGACTGTAAATTACAGTGTAATTTACAGTCCAGCTTTAGTTGTGACCCCTAGTTAATCAAACGCCATATACTTCCTGTCTCGGCCGTTCTATTTACAGTGCAGGATTTTAAATTGATTTTGGGCTTGAGTGGGTTATTTAATTCACTGACTGGTTTACATGTCACAGATATGTGTGTGAATTTTAGTTTATTTATACTCACCACCAGTTGCCCATGTCACAGAACTTTATGATATGAATTTGAGATTTTGGAAACAATTTGATGCCTGACTGCAGTTTTACACACCTTTGGCACTCATAAATGTCCTAATTACAATTGTTAATTGTACTTGACTGTCAAATTGAACAAGCGTTATAGCGCACTATAAATCTAGATCTACTTAATTTCTTTTCTTTCCTTTTTTTTGGGGGGGGGGGGGGGGGGGGGGGGAGTTTTTTTTGTTTGTTTTTTTTGTTTTTTTTGGGAGCCAAGGTCTATGAGCGCTTAGCTGAGATTAACTTTATAACGGAGAGCGAAAATGGTGTAAAATAGAGTTATGGTTCTTTGACACTGCACTCTGCCTTCATGCCCTCTACCACTGTGTAAAGTTTAAACAAATTACCTCCAAGGGTTTTCAAGTTATGCTCCGGACAAGACAACGGACGGACAGACGGAAAGACGGACAAGGTGGCAACTATATTATGCTCTCCCTTCGGGGAGCATAAAAAAACCAATCATAATGTATTTTAAATATGACCACATATGAATAGGGTTAACATAAACAGGAAACTTTTGATAACCTTGACTTTCACAGGTAGGGGTGTCAAGGCAAGCAAAAACATATTGTGACAAATGTCTCCCAAAACTATGTATGGTTCTGATCACTCCTATGAATTTTGGTCGAAATCCCGCCAGCAGCTTGACCTGTAATAGCTGGAAAGGATTTTTCTATTTTAAGCTCTGGCAGCCATTTTGTTCAGCAAAACAGAAAATGCAGCCGATATGCACAACAAGGGATGGTACTAGTGATGGTCCGATTGTCGCCGCTATCCGATTATAGATCGGTATGTTGATAATGTTGCCGACATCGATTGTGTTCGAACAGAATCGATTGTCGCTTAGTGTTAATTTTTGTTCCTTTGTGGTAGTTATTTTTCGTAGTTTTTTAGCTTTGCGCTATTTAATTTGAATACTCTTCAATCTTCACGAAAACGTCATGGCGGAGGAAAAAACCCAGACCGATTTGAATAATAATTCTAAACAGGTTGTATTTCCCTATCCAGGGAAAACATCATCAAATGTCTGTAAGGATTTTGGTTTCCACAAGCTGAATATTGAAGGACCCGCTACCATTGATAACTTGGACATGGCTAAAGTTGTGTGCAAGCTTTGTGGTAAAGGATATGCAAATAAAGGTACCCCACCCGTTTAAAATAAAATCGGATTCTGATACTGTATTTTACTGTAACAATCTTTGTTACTCTGTCCATTTATAATGTAAAATAATCAATTTAAAAGGCTTCTAAACATATATTTACCATGACACCGTTTATGGTACGGCGATTCTGTTATTAAAAATGAAATAAAATAATTAAATTTTTTATGTGAAATGGTAATTTACATTTTTATTCCTGATCATGCATATTAAATTAATTTATTAATCACATAGATACATTTTATCAATTATTGGTAGCAGTTATTAATTTATTATAATTTATATGACCATGAATAGTTCCTACAGGAATGGGAACCCTGAATCTAAAAATTTCCTTAGTTTAACCATATTTATTTTAGCTCGATTGTGAAATAGGCACTTAAATAAAAACTTTTATTTTTGATTAAATAAGTAAATGCTGGCAACAGGGACACATTGATTTTTCTGAATATGAATATCGAAAATCATTACATGTATGTAAACTGTGTCCTGACTGAAGAATTTGTATTTTGTAATATGTTAAACAGACAATTAGATAAAAACATAAATTTATATTAAATAAAAGTTATAATGATTTCTATTTTCTAGATAGTTATGCTGGAAAACATTCAGTTCGATTATTCCGATTAATTGATCGGAGAGCCTGTCCGATTGTTCCGATTAATCGATTATGAGTTTGTCTACCGATTCCCAACACTAGATGGTACTATTCACTCCTGTGAAGTTTCATTGAAATCCCACTAGCAGTAGACCGGTGAAAACTGGACAAGATTTTTCTATTTATAGCTCTTCAGAGACCATTTTGTGCATCAAAGCTGAACATGCCAGTGATATGCACAACTAGGGATGGTACTGATCACTCCTGTGAAGTTTTCATTGAAATCATAACAGCAGCTTGACATGTAAAAGCCAAAAAAAAGATTTTTCTATTTATAGCTTTGACGGCCATTTAGTGCTGCAAAGCAAACGTGCCAGTGATATGCACAACTAGGTATGGTACTGTACACTCTGTTAAGTATCATTGAAACCCCACCATCAATTTGACCTGTTGAAGTTGGACAACATTTTTCTATTTACAGCTCTGGCAGCCATTTTGTTCAGGGAAACGGAACATGCTGGAGATATGCACAACTTGGGATGGTACTGATCACTCCTGTGAAGTTTGGTTGAAATCCCACCAGCAGTTTGACCTGTGAAAGCTGGAGAAGACTTTTCTATAGATAGCTCTGGCGGACATTTTGTGCAGTGAAGCAAAATGTGCCAGCGATATGGACAACTAGGGATGGTAGTGATCAATCCAGTGAAGTTCATTGAAATCCCACCAGCAGTTTGACCT